TGATGATGAGAGAGAGACGCAAACTCCAAATCTACAGCAGCAGGCATCGTCAGGGTCGGGATCGAACCCACGACCTCCTGTACACCAGGCGAGGTAGTCAACATCTCCTAGCCATTGTGATGATGATGATGAGAGAGACACGCAAACTACAAATCTACAGCAGCAGGCATCGTCAGAGTCGTGATCGAACCCACGACCTCCTGTACACCAGGCGAGGTAGTCAACATCTCCTAGCCACCGTGATGATGATGAGAGACACGCAAACTCCAAATCTACAGCAGCAGACTTGCCAGAACGTCAGCGGAACGGGACAAGGGGGGCTTTGTAACGAGCAATGAAGAGTCGCGACGACCAATCGAATCGCTGCGGTGGGCGGGTGGGGGGGGGGAGCTCACCCCCCCACCCCCCACCCCCCGCCCCACCCCCCGCCCCCCCTCACCTTGTCGTCTTTTCCTCTCTGCGCGGCCGCCCCCTTCTTGTCGCCCCCAGGTGCACTCCCCCCTCCTCCTCCCCTCGCTCCTCCTCCATCATCGTCGTCGTCGTCGTTTCTACCGCGGCCGCGTCCTCCTCCTCCTCCTCCTCCGCTGCTGCTGCCATCGTCGTCGTCGTCATCGTCGTCGTCCTCGTCGCTGGCACGGAACTTGTCGTGCGTCCACTTGGGGCTGGCCCCCCCTCCTGCTGCCGCCTCGCGCCGCCCGTACGCAAACGCGGCCGCAGCTCCCCCACCGCCACCCCCGCCACTCCCCCCGCCACCGCCGGCTCTGCCGCCCCCTCTCCTGCCGCCGCCCCCTGACAACGACGCCGACGCCGCCGCCGCCGCGCCGGTCCCCGCGTTAGCCGAGAACGCCGGGCTCCCGCCTCCGCCGTTACCGCCGCCCGCCGCCGCCGTTACCGCCGTGGAGGAGGAGCGAGTGGCGGGGGCGGCTCGCTTGGACGAGGAGGAGGAGGGGGCGGGGGGGAGGGCGGCCGCGTCGCCACGGCCACCGCTGCCCCACGCATCCTTCACGCCAACACCACCAACGTCGTCTTCACGGTCGTCGTGCTGGGGGGAGGAGGAGGAGAGGGGGGGGGGAGAGAGGGTGAGGTAGGAGGAGATGGAGGAGAGGAGGAGAGAGGGGGAGGGGGGGTGGGGGGTGGGGGAGAAGATGGAGGAGGAGGGAGGGGTGGAGGAGGAGGTGGAGGTGGAGGAGATGGAGGCAGGGGGGGTGGAGGTGGAGGAGTGGAGGAGGAGGGGGGGGAGGAGATGGAGGAGGAGGAGAGGGGGTGAGGTAGGAGGAGATGGAGGAGGAGGGGGGGGTGGAGGTGGAGGTGGAGATGGAGGAGTGGAGGAGGAGGGGGGGGGTGGAGGAGGAGGTGGAGGAGAGGGGGGAGAGTGGATGAGGTTGAGATGGAGGAGTAGGAGAGGGGGGGGAAGGGGAAGAGGAGGTGGAGGAGTGGGGGGTGTAGTGGTTAGCGCCACGCTGCGCTACGAACCTGGCGGCCCGGGTTCGATTCCCGCTCACGGCCAACACCAACACCACCGGTGACGATTATCTGAACCGGCCCTGGGCCTCCCCTAGGTCGACTCAGCCTCAAAACGCGTATCTGGTGCGGTGTGTAGATGCTGCTCACGAACAGCTCTTGCCCCCAACAGTCCGTTGAGGCTACCTGGGGGATCGTTGTCTTTGTAGTTCCACAAGTAACTGGTGTACATGTGTGTGTGTGTGTACGTGTGTGTGTACGTGTGTACGTGTGTGTGTACGTGTGTACATGTGTGTGTGTGTGTGCAGGCCCGTGCCCACTTACCAGGTAGTACTTCTTGCTGCGTGGCTGGTACTCCGACTCCCACTCCTCCTCGCGCCCCCCCCCACTCCGGCGGGAACTCTGGGGGGGCGGGGAGCCCCCCCCGCCGCCGCCGTCGTCATGGGGACGTCCGTAGCCCCCGCCCGGCGGGGGGGGGTAGCCCCCCCCACCGTAGCCGCGGCCGCGGTAGCGCACACGGCCACGGAACTGCATCTGGGAGGCGGAGGCAACAGGCCGATTCGAACCCCCAAACCATGCTCACCACCACCATCCGCCACCAACACCGCCACCACCCCCACCACCGCCACCCTCACCACCAACACCGCCACCACCCTCACCACCACCACCCCCACCACCGCCACTATCCTCCACCACCACCACCACCCTCCACCACCACCACCATCCTCCACCACCACCACCCTCCACCGCCACCACCCTCACCACCAACACCGCCACCCTCACCACCACCACCACCACCCCCACCACCGCCACCCTCACCACCAACACCGCCACCACCCTCACCACCACCACCCCCACCACCGCCACTATCCTCCACCACCACCACTCTCCACCACCACCACCGCCACCACCCTCACCACCCTCACCACCAACACCGCCACCACCACCCCCACCACCGCCACCCTCCACCGCCACCACCCTCACCACCACCACCACCCTCACCACCACCACCCACGACCCTCACCGCCACCACCACCACCACCACCCCCACCACCGCCACCCTCACCGCCACCACCACCACCATCCTCCACCACCACCCTCACCACCCTCACCACCACCACCCCCCCCACCACCACCACCCTCACCACCACCACCACCCTCACCACCGCCACCCACCACCCTCACCGCCACTGCCACCACCACCACCAACACCACCATCCTGTGTGTACTGTGTGTGTGCTGTGTGTGTGTGTGCTGTGTGTGTGCGCTGTGTGTGTGTGTGCTGTGTGTGTGTGCTGTGTGTGTGCTGTGTGTGTGTGCTGTGTGTGTGTGCTGTGTGTTTGTGTGTGCTGTGTGTGCTGTGTGTGTGTGCTGTGTGTGTGCGCTGTGTGTGTGTGCTGTGTGTGCGTGCTGTGTGCGCGCCCTGCCTCACTCACGTAGGGCGCGGGGCGACTCCGTGGCTGCCAGGATGAGCCGCGGTGCTGGTAGCCGCCCTGCTGCTGCTGGTACCCGTGCTGCTGCTGCTGCAGCTGCTGCTGATGCTGCTGCTGCTGGTGGTAGTAGTCCTTGGAGCTTGACCTGCCGCCCTTCTCAAAGCCGTAGACTTCCTCGTGGCTGGCCGAGCGAGATCTCCTGCGCAAAGGCAGATAATCGTCACCGGTGTTGGTGGCCGTGAGCGGGAATCGAACTCGGGTCTCCGGGTTCATAGTGCAGCGCGCTAACCGCTGCACCACCACTCCCCACACATGGTGACACACACGCTGTGAAACACACACGCGCGGTGACACACACACCCGGTGACACACACACACGCGTTGACACACACACGCGGTGACACACACACAGTGACACACACACGCGGTGACACACACACAGTGACACACACACACACGTTGACACACACACACACAGTGACACACACGCGTTGACACACACACGGTGACACACACATACGCGTTGACACACACACACGGTGACACACACACACGGTGACACACACACACGGGGACACACACACACGCGTTGACACACACACACACACACGCGTTGACACCCACACGCGGTGACACCCACACACACACACGGTGACACACACACACACGGGGACACACACACACACACACGCGTTGACACACACACACACACACACGCGTTGACACCCACACGCGGTGACACCCACACACACACACGGTGACACACACACACGGTGACACACACACACACGGTGACACACACACGGTGACACACACACACTCGCTCACCGTTCGTCGCGCTCCCGCTGTTCCCGCTCGTCGCCACGCTCCCCCCTCTCCCTCTCCCCCCGCTCCCCGCGCTCCTTGTGCCTCCGCTCCGCCTTGGGCGCTCGCTCGCTCGACTTCTCCCTCGCCTGCTGCTGCTGCTGTTCCTCCTCCTGCACGGAGGGGGGCGGTGAGTCAATAAGCGAGTGAACGCTAGCGGGTCAGCGGGTGAACAAGCGAATGGCCGGACGGACGGACGAGCGGGTGAACACATAAACAGATGGGCGAGTGGGTGAATGGACGGTGGACGGGTGAGTGGACGGGTGAGTGGGTGAGTAGGTGAGTGGACGGGTGAGTGGGTGAATGGATGGGTGAATGGATGGGTGAGTGGGTGAATGAACGGGTGAGTGGACGGGTGAGTGGGTGAGTAGGTGAGTGGACGGGTGAGTGGGTGAATGGATGGGTGAATGGACGGGTGAGTGGGTGAATGAACGGGTGAGTGGACGGGTGAGTGGGTGAATGAATGGGTGAGTGGACGGGTGAGTGGGTGAGTAGGTGAGTGGACGGGTGAGTGGGTGAATGGATGGGTGAGTGGGTGACTGGACGGGTGAGTGGGTGAATGGACGGGTGAGTGGGTGAATGAACGGGCGAGTGGGTGAGTGTGCGAGCGAGTGTGCAAGTGAACAGACAGGTGAGTGGGCGAGAGCGGGGAAACGAACGGACGAGCAAGTGAGCGGACGAATGGACGAGTGGGTGAGCGGTCGAGAGCTGAGTGAGTGAGCGAGCGGGTGAGCGGTCGAGCGAGAGAGCGAGCGAGCCGCCGTGCCTTGCTGCTGGCGCTGCTGTCGCGTCGCAGCGAGAATTTCCCCGAGGAGGAGGCGGCGCCGTCGACGCTCTCCTTCTTCTTGTGACGCTTCAGGAAGTCGGGAGAGATGTCGATCCTCCTGCACGCGGACGGACGGACGGGCGGACGGGCGGCGGGCAAAGGTCACGTGCCCGCCGGCCACACAACAGCAGCAGCAAGCGACGGCTGTCCGGCAGGCCGCAGCACGCGGCGCACGCGGAGACAGAAGCCGATCGCGGCCGACGGCGCTGCCGGGCACGCTAGCAGGGGCGGCGCCGCTACCGGCCAGACAATGCACCGCAATAGCAAGCCCAACAGAGGGGACTAGCAGAGTGTAAAGTAAGAGTGTGGCGGCAGGTTTTAACGACACAACAAGCCCCCGTGTATCATGGATGTTGGTCGCGAAAGTACGCGTGTTAAACAACCACTAGCTACGATTTAAAGCTTTCGTGACTGCAGGGATTCATCTTCTTGGTTCTTTCGGTAAAGTCACGTAGAAGGGAAGTAATAAAATAATAAAATTAAAACATAATAAAACAATTGTGGCCGAAACGTCGTGAGAATTGTTTTATTATGTTTTATTTTTATTATTTTATTACTTCCCTTCTACGTGACTTTACCGAAAGAACCAAGAAGATGAACCACTAGCTACGTTTTAAACTTGCTAACCACGCGTTGAACTGACCATTACAAAACTACTATTACATGTTCAACTAAATAAAAATCTACGTGTTAAACTACCACGAGCTATTAGTTACGTGTTAAACTAACACTAACGACGTGTCAAAACGGACTTTCAAATTAGCAAACCCTTAAGTCTGCGGAGAGAGCGAGAGTGAGCGAGTGAGCAAGTGAGCGAGCGAGCGAGTGAGTGAGCGAGTGAGCAGGAGAGTGAATGAACGAGCGGGCGAGCGAGTGGGCGAGCGAGCGTCAAAACCGCGCGAGGCGCCGGGCGGGTAACGTACTCGCTGGATGTCTTGCCCGCGCCCGGCAAAAACAGAAACCTCCAGTTTTTGGGGTTTTTTTTTTTGTACAAATATTTTTTTCGCGGGGTGGCAGTGGGGGTGGTGGGGGCGGGCGCTTTGGCCACCGCTCCTTTTTTTTTGTATATCGGGTTCTGGTTGTTTTTTTGGTTTGTTTTTGTTTGGTTGGTTGCGGTGTTTTTTGGTTTTTGGCGTTTCTCGCTCTCGCGAACGTTTTGCGCGTCTTATAAACGGCGCACAGGGCGCGGCGGTCTTCCGTGGACACTACAGCTTCAAGAGGGGAGAGAGACACGCGCACAGACACAAGAGGAACAGACAAGGGGAGGGAGGGGGGGCACGAAAAAGCGGACATTGTTTTTCCCACGATCAACACAACAGCGCACGGATCAACACAACACCGCACATCGTCGCGTTTACATGGCCATTCAACAAGCCGACGACGCGGGGGGCCTCGTGCGTTTCTAACGTGCAACTCAAAAGGGCCTCCCCCTCCCTCACTCATCGGCCCTCGCCCCCCCCCCCTTCAAGCCCCGCTCAAATTACCGAGCGGAGAAATTCATCGCAGGGGCGAACTGGCGCATTCACAGCGGCACGGGGGGGGGGGGGGCGTCATCTGTCCGGTTTGCCGAGGTGTGCCGCTGACGTTACCAGCCCAAGCTGCAACTCCAGAGGGGGGTCCCTTCGCTTCTTCTGCTGTTCTCGCTGTCTAAAAAAACTCTGCGCGTCTCTCCGCTGAGCGCGTCGCGATGAACAACCGCGGCCGGCGTGGCACAGGAAGGATGATTCAGATCTCTGGCCCAGAATCAACATCTTGACGGAACCGCCGAAACCGCACCGAGACTTTTGGTGGTTTCCACTCCCCCCCACCTCCCTCACCGCCACCCCCCACCACCGCCACCGCCACCACCGTCGGCGAGGTCTCGGCAAAAATAATAATAAATCGGCGGGGCAAAGTTCGAACGGTTGCCCGCCAGGGGAGCGTGACCCCATCGGGGTGTGTTTTGGGGGCCACCCTCCTCCTCCTGCTCCTCACCGCCTGAAACATCTGTCGTAGAAAAAGATGCCGTGTCATCACTCCCGCTTCCATCGGCAACCCTGCCCCCACCTCCCCCACCGTTCACACCGTGACTTCCGATTAGCACCGGGAATTGGCTACCTAGGTGGGGCACAGGTGCAAACACTTCCCCCGCTAAAGGACTTCAGCGTCTCCCGACACTCGAGACGCCACCGTGAGATGGAGACTCCCGACGCGCTAAAAGGGGGGGAGAAAGCCCCTCTTCTCCGGCGACACGCGCCGGTCGCTTTAGAGGCGGTCAACACGCCAACGTTTCGAGTCAACGCCGACATTCGCCGAAACCCATAAAGCTCTCGGCGAGAAGAGGCCCTGGGCTGGCTGGAGGCGAAACATCAGCCGGCCTTGGCCACTCCCATTTGTAAACATTGCCACGGTTCACGGCTTCAGTCTGTGACGGAGTTGTCCCGATGCCTCCCCCCGCCTCATCACCCACGAGGACAAAAAAAAATCAAACGACAAACATCTTGCGGCTTTCTTCTGTTGTGCAGTCGTGCAAGGACGCCGCCATCTTGGACACACGTCCGCCACCTAGTGGCGAAAAGCTGGGAGGGGAAAAAAGGAGTCAACAAATGCCAGGGTCATGCCCCATATTCACGCGGTTCGAGTTCGCCAAACATTGCGGCCGGCATAACTCGCTCGAATTCACAAATCCGATGCCGTGTTGCACATCTCTTCTCACGGTACACGGTCGGTGTCAATCACTTTAATACATAGTAGCAGTAGCAGTGGGGCTTTCGCGACCAATGTCATCCATTAGAACATACAGCGTGCTTCAAATTTGACAAGAGGTTTTCCGCTTTTTTCTGGCAACAAAACAAGTGTTAAGATGTTAAAACACCAAACTGAAACCTTTTACGAGGAATCGTGTCTGCATTAACCACGATGCTTGTGGTCAGAATTTATGCATTGTCTTTGAAACTGATTGGTCCACACCAGAGACAGCTTTCTTTTGAGCCTAGTCTCATAACGGTTGTTAGACCAGAGTACTGGCAAAGGAGGTCCCATGATGCTTCACATGTTTTTACACTTACACAAGACTGTCGTGTTTCATGTAAAGAGAACGGATGATACACTGTAACATGATACCAAATGTACATTGATAGCTTCAAAAAGTCAAAGTCTCCACTTGTTCACCATTTCTTGTGGTATTGTTGCAAATTCTCAGAAGTGTTAAAACATTTTGAAGCACCATGTAAATAAATGTGTCGTTAATCCTGCCACCACACGACACAGCTAATTAGTAAAGGGTTTTCCACGTAAACAGAACATGCCAATTAGTTACGAGCACAGCACACCAGTGTTGTCGGTTTATAATTACTGGCGAAACGTCGTACTCAGATTGTAAATATTGTAGATTTGCTCTCCAACACACCGTTGCGCTGTACTAGCAACGAAATGGCACGTTCTGTTCACGTGACAAACTTCGTTACTAATTGACCGTCGGGTTTAACGACATTTATATTTACGCACTCAAACCCAATTTTTTTTTATTAGGAGTGTCAATCACCCCTGCGCTAACTCCGAACACTTTGTTAACCCACATCAAAATGCACACGAACAGACGATAAGGAGGGATGCAACGATTCATTGGCTATATTCACCTCTTATGGTTATTACACGCGAGGATTGATTCCTTCGGTCGTGCGGATGTCGCGTGCGCTCGATTCATTGGAACCCTGCAGTCAATGTGGACTTTCCAAATAAAATGAATCTACCGCACTTATCCCTCCCTAGCCGTGCCAAATCATCGAATCGTGGAGATGGGAGAATCGTTACATCCCTAGCTGTTACTCACACAAGTCGTTAGTCTCAGCTCCGACAAAGCGTGTAAGTAAACGTGCGCACGCGCTATGTCAGCCTGTCACTCTTTCCGCTTCGTTTACGTTCAGGCCGGTTCTCGACAACTCACGTGGACTTCCCCCGGACTTGGAGGGTGGGTGCCGTACCCAACGTCAAACGTGTCGCCCCGCTCAGACCCAGGTAGGCCAGGCGAGTGGCGCTTTCACAGACATTGCGACACGGCCGCCGCCGCCGCCACCACCACCATCGCCACCACCATCACCAGCCACTCTCTCCCATTTCACTGCTGTGGGTGCAAATAGCCTTTGCCGCAGCCTCGCGGCTTCGATTGGCCCGCACGGCAAGTGTGAAATGTTGTGGACGGCTCGTCACAAAAGCTGCGTCCTTCCCCTCTTTCGTTCGGTTTTAGATTGCGGCGGTGACGACTTTCCACCACCGGTTTTGGCCGCCGGCTCGGCTTTGCATTGCCGGGCGGGCTAGGGTCACACGACTCTTCCCGTCTCTCGGTCACGCCAATGCCCCCTTCCACATCCAGCACAAACATGTCCTGGAAGTGTTGCACGGTCAAAGGTCACCTGTGTGTGTGTGAGTTTAAACAAAAAATAATTGGCATCCGCTGCATGGAGAGCAGACAACGATCCAAGCCTGCCCGCCCGCGGGCTCAACCCGACTCTTTACAACACGCGCGCAAAACCGCAAAACGCACGGGAGCAGCAGCAGCAGCAGCAACAGCAGCGACGACAGCCGACGACAGCCGACGACAGCACAAACGCCGCGAGCGACCGCCACTTACCTCCTAGCGGTGGGGCTGAGGGAACACTAAGACACGCCGCTGCGGACAGCTCGCGTCCGCCAGAGGGTGGCTACTTTTCCCCGGGCCAGCCGGACCCGCAGGTCAAGACGCGGCTCCCGGTTTTTTTGTTGTTTTTGTTTTAGAGAGACGTCGTCACATCACCGAGCTCTTTTTTGTCTTCGTTTGGTTTTTGGCCGAGCGCCCGACGAACGCTCATCAGTGCTACTCTCTAGAGTGGCGAGCTTCGAGGGGGAGGGAGGGTTGGAGGTGGGGGCCCTCTCTGACGAGACTCACGGGCACTCAAGGCCTCCACGCATCAGGCCCATCTCCGCGAGGAGTGAAATGCGGGCGGTGAGGAGTCGTACGTTCCGTAAAGGAAGTCAGAGCCTCCTTTGCAGGGTTTCAACATCCTTCTGCATCGAAAAACAGGTGCAAAGGTCACATCCCCTGTGATGTCCTGCAAACCACATCAACAACGAGCCTTAAAATGAGCACACAATCACACCAGTGGTTAAAGGTTTTATTGTTAGTATCATCATCATCACTAAAAAGCCCAGCCCATGAGCTTTTAAATCAACTTGAACAAAAAAAAAACACCCTACTTGTTGCTAAGGCGGCCATTTTGCACAACCACTTTCTTTCAGCATCAGCCATTTTGAAGGTTTCTTCGCGATCCTGCAGGAGCCTGCACGCCAGGCCGTTTTGTTGGTCGCCATCGGCCATGCCGCTTGAGGTGGCCAAGTGGGCCCCCAGCCTTTTGCTCTCTCCGTCACCCTCCGTTTTGCGTTGTTTGCGAGCCGGCCCGTGTTTAAAAAAAAAAAAATCTTGTGGCGGCCATTTTGTTTTGACCCGTGGCTCCTCCCGCCATTTTGAGGTCATACCTCTTGTGGACTGGCCGTCCATTTTTTTGTTTGTTTTGCTGTTCGTTGTCAGCCGCAGAATTTTTCACACGTCAGCCATGGGGCGAACTCACCTTTCTCTAGATCCGCGATGACGGATACACTTTTTAGCATTTTTTTCATCTTTTCAGCAAAATTCTGTATTTTCAATTCTTGTTTCCGACCAGCCGTCACATTTCTCGCCGCAGGCCCGCCATTTGGTCGATCACACATTATAGCACCCGTCCGGTTCAAGCTCAACTCAGCGCGAATACAGAGCCAAGAAGAGCCGTCGACAAGAGCTGCGGAAGAAATCTCACCAAATCAACGGCTAGAAATTAAATCTCTCTCGCTCTCGCTCTACAAAACGAAAGCAACGTCACCGTCGAGGACTTGAACATTGCCGTTTTTTTAAAACAACACTTGCTCCGTCGAACGGAGGAGGAGCTGTCGAGTTAACGGGTCATTCTCTGGCCAAGCCCATCTTCCCAGCTCAACCAAAATCCGTTGGGAGAATTTGGATCTTCACGTGAACAAAAGCAAACCCTCTTTTTAACCCCCCGCGCAAAAACCATTGCGCGCCCGCAACCAGTGGGCGGGGATTCCCTTGATAGTTCGGTAAAACGACAACAACAAAAAGCGGGGACTTTTTATTTTTTAAACGCATGTGAAACGCGATTTCTCTCTCTGCTCGACCGCAGAACAAACGCAGCATAACTTTCCCAGTGACGGCCCGGCATCGGTGGTGCCGTATCGGCCTACGAGGTCATCACGATACCGCCCCGGCAGCGGGCGGGCGGGTGGGCGGTCACCGTTTTGCCGACAACGCTGCCAAATGGATCGTTTTGTGGAGTAGCGTTCGTGCGTGGGGGTGCGGTGCCTTAGCAGGACCAGGACGGGTCCTCCTAAAGCACCGCCACCCTCCGTCACCGCCCTGTACCCCTTGCCTCCCGTTGCCGCTACCTGCGCGTGAACGCCCGCCCCCCGCTTGTGTAGCCATCCCATCCCCCACAAACTCACGAAGGCGGCCTCCCTTCCACCACGACCGCTCGCTTGCCTCTGGCCGGCGGCCCTCGGCATTGCTCTTTCCGCTGCTGGCCCGGTGACGGCATCGACGGCGCTGCAAGTGCGTCGGCTCAACCACCACGCGCCGCGGTCGAACGCCTCTTCACGGTGCGGCGGGTGCGGTGGTCACGGGCCAACCAGAGACTCGATTCCAGAGTCATTTGCACCGTCCCCCCGTCAGCTGCGTCTCTCGTCCGTCGTCATCGTCGCGTCCGAATCCGTCTGCTCCGTCGTGTCGGCAGCGTGGCTCGCTCGCTCGCCCGCCCGGGGGTCACAACGAGCGACCCTCCCTCTCCTCTCCGGTGCTCGATCGCAATGTCGGGCGCGAGCGTCCAGGTTTATTTTTTTTTAAATCGACGGACGGACGGACGGATACACGGACGAACAGGCATCTTCCTGCTGCGCCCCCCCCGACCCCAGGCCCCATGTCTAAGCGGACCCCACGGGAGGGGGGCAAGGGGGGAGGGGGCGGCACCGGGCCTTACCTGCGGATCTCGGGACTCTTGTTCCCAGCCTCACTGGCCTCCTGAAGGCTCCCAAAGCGCTCGTTCAGGGTCATGGTGGCGGGCTTGAAGCGGTGCTCTGTGTGGGGGCGGCGGGGGGAGACGGGGCGAGTGAATCCCCCGTGGGTGACTGTGAATGTGAGTGTTTGTATGTTAATGACAGTGAGTGTTTGTATGTGAATGAGAGTGTACATGTGAATGAGTGTGTACATGTGAATGTGAGTGTGTGTACATGTGTAGTGAATGGTAGCGAGTGCGTGTACATGTGAACGAGAGTATCACAGAGAGAGTGTGTGTCTAGACGTGACAGAGAGGGTCTCCTTACCGCGTACGTGGTGCACCAAAGACACGATGTGCTGCAGGAAAGCGATTGAGGGGCTGGGCGGGCGGGCGGAGGCGGTGGGGATGTGGTGGAAAATGGAACGAAACGAGTCACCGCCACCACCGCCACCACCGCCGCCACCGCCGCCGCCGCTCGTGCCGGCGGTGGGATCGCGGTCGCGTTGGGAGCGAGATCGTCGCACCGAGACCAAGTCCATGGAGAGCTGTCGCTCGTCGCTCAGAGAGAGCGACGCGCCAGGCCTGAAACACGCGCACAAAGATCCCCCATGTAGCATTAGCAGGCTGTTGGGGCAAGTGCTGTTAGTGAGTAGAACCTACAAAAACAAAGATCCCCCGTGAAGCCTGTGACAGACAGGTGGGGCAAGTGCTGTTAGTGAGTAGCACCTACAAAGACAAAGATCCCCCGGGTAGCCTCAACAGACTGTTGGGGGCAAGAGCTGTTCATGAGCAGCACCTATGAAGGCCGGCACGGTGCAAGGGGGGTAAGTTGCCAGCACCACGCCCGGCCGCCTTTGTCTCCCCCAGTGGCAATGTTTGCTACACACTGCACCAGGTAGCGAGTAGCAGCGCCGATGAACAGACAAAGATCCCCCGTGTAGCCTGTGACGGACAGGTGGGGGCAAGTGCTGTTAGCGATTAGCAGCCTCCACCGCCAGCGGCCGCACGGAAGACGACGCGAGAGAGAGAGAAGACCGGCAGGAGGGGTCCGGTGAGTCACTCACCGCACGGTCAAGCGCAGAGGGTCAACGCGCACCACCACCGGCTCATCCAGGTCCACGTCACCGCCCCTCACGTCACCGCCCCTCACGTCACCGCCTCTCACGCCGATGCCGCTACCCAGCAGCGTCGTGCCGGCGGGGGGCGGCTGCCCCCTCTGCCGCTTGCGAACTACGACGGGGGGCGGTGACACGGAGCCGCTGTCGCTCCCGCTGTCGACGCTTCTCATGGACACAACCTGCTGCTGCTGCTGCTGCTGCTGAGCGGTGGTGGCCGCAGCCGCTGCGGCCGCGGCAGCAGCGGCAGCGGCGTTGGCGGCGGCGACGGCGGCGGCGGCCTTCTTGGCGCGCGCCGACTTGGAGAGGATCTCGGCGAAGTCGGCAAAGTCGTCGTCGTCGCCGGCGTGCATCTTCTTGAAGTCGTAACCCTTGCTCGACGTCGTCACGGTGATGGGGACGTTGCCGCCGCCGGTGCCGCCGGTGCCGCCGGAGGTGGGGGGCGTGGAGGAGGCGGTGGCGGCCGCGGCGCCGGGAGGGCCGGCGGTGGCGGTGGCCGCGTGGGGGTAGCGCTGGTGGTCGGGAGAGTCGACGCGGCGCAGGCGTTTGGTCGAGCCGGCGCCGGCGGCGGCAGACGGAGGAGGGGTGGACGAGGCCGTCACCGACTGTTGGGGTGGAGGGAGCGCAGGTCGGTGGCGGTGGGGCATGCCGACTCACTCGCTCACAGACTCACCGACTCACTCACCGACTCGCTCACCGACTCACAGACTCGCTCACCCGCTCACTCGCTCACAGACTCACCGACTCACCGACTCACTCACCCCCACTCACTCGCTCACTCGCTCAATGACTCAAGACTCACCGACTCGCTCACCCACTCACTCGCTCACAGACTCACAGACTCACCGACTCATTCACCCACTCACCCGTTCACTCACTCACTCGCTCACCGACTCACTCACCCGCTCACCCGTTCACTCGCTCACAGACTCAAGACTCACGGACTCACCGACCCGCTCACCCGCTCACCCGCTCACAGACTCAAGACTCACCGACTCGCTCACCTGCTCACAAACTCAGACTCAAGACTCGCCGACTCAGACTCTATGACCCGCATACCGACTCACCGACTCGCTCACCCGTCCGCCTGCCTGCGCGCCATTTACCTGTCTCTCCCTCACCTTCTTGCCGTAGTAATCCCCTCCGCCCGAGTTGCGCGTGATCATGAACGTCAGGGGGGGCGGCTCGGCAGCCATCTTGCCGCCCTCCGCCTTCTCCTCGTGGACGCCCCCGCCGGGCTCATCGTCCTCCTCCTCCTCGTCGTCGTCGTCGTCGTACAGAGCGTCGCGCCTCTTCTTGCGATCGCGTTCCCGGCCGCGCTCGCGCTCGCGCTCCCTCTCCGGCTCTCGGTCCTTGTAGGACGCGACGGGCGCCTCCTCCGCATAGCTGGGACAACCGCAGCAGTAGCAGCAGCAGCAGTGAGTGGCCTCCGTTGCTAGCGGCGTAGCGACCCAGAGACTCACTCGCACGCTCACTCGCTCACTCACTCGCACGGTCACTCGAGCGTGCGAGTGAGTGTGTGCTGGGTGTGCGAGTGAGCGCGTGCGAGTGAGCGAGTGAGTGTGTGCTGGGTGTGCGAGTGAGAGAGCGTGCGAGTGAGCGAGTGAGTGTGTGCTGGGCGTGCGAGTGAGAGAGCGTGCGAGTGAGCAAGTGAGTGTGTGCTGGGCGTGCGAGTGAGAGAGCGTGCGAGTGAGCGAGTGAGTGTGTGCTGGGCGTGCGAGTGAGAGCGTGCGAGTGTGCTGGGCGTGCGAGTGAGCGAGTGCAAGTGAGTGTGTGCTGGGCGTGCGAGTGAACGTGCGAGTGAGCGCGCGCTCACTCGCACGTTCACTCGCACGCTGAGCGCGCGCACGTCGCAATGCTCACCGTGGGACGTGCACATCGAGTTCAGGCCCACCACCACCATCACCACCGCCACTGCCACCGCCGGCGCCACCACCGACGCCGCCGGCGTCACCCGCACCGCCGCCTTCCCCGCCCCCCGTGGGCCCCGAGGCCTCGGCTCCCCCCTTGCTCCCCGTGCCCGCGAGGGGCGGCGGCACCGAGGTGAAGCCCCTGCGCACGGTGGGCGCGGGGGGCCCCTCGGCAGGAGCCTTCTCCTTGGACGCAGGCGGAGGGGGGCCCTCTCCAGGCTGAGGGGTCAACGGCACGGGGGGGGGGGGGGGGTGGGCAGCAGTAGCAGAGAGGTCAAAGTGAAGTCCGCACCGCCCGTCAGCCCCACGTCACGCTCGCCCGTCAGCCCCACGTCACGCTCGTCCGTCAACCCCACGTCACACTCGTCCATCAACCCCACGTCACACTCGCCCATCAACCCCACGTCACGCTCGTCCATCAGCCCCACGTCACACTCGTCCATCAACCCCACGTCACGCTCGTCCGTCAACTTCACGTCACACTCGTCCATCAACCCCACTTCACGCTCGTCCATCAACCCCACGTCACGCTCGTCCGTCAACCCCTCGTCACACTCGTCCATCAACCCCACGTCACGCTCGTCCATCAACCCCACGTCACGCTCGTCCATCAACCCCACGTCACGCTCGTCCGTCAACCCCACGTCACACTCGTCCGTCAACCCCACGTCACACTCGTCCATCAACCCCTCGTCACGCTCGTCCATCAACCCCACGTCACGCTCGTCCATCAACCCCACGTCACGCTCGTCCATCAACCCCACGTCACGCTCGTCCATCAACCCCACGTCACGCTCGCCCGTCAGCCCCACGTCACGCTCGTCCGTCAACCCCACGTCACACTCGTCCATCAACCCCACGTCACACTCGCCCATCAACCCCACGTCACGCTCGTCCATCAACCCCACGTCACGCTCGTCCATCAACCCCACGTCACACTCGCCCATCAACCCCACGTCACGCTCGCCCGTCAGCCCCACGTCACACTCGTCCATCAGCCCCACGTCACACTCGCCCATCAACCCCACGTCACGCTCGCCCGTCAGCCCCACGTCACACTCGTCCATCAACCCCACGTCACACTCGTCCATCAACCCCACGTCACACTCGTCCATCAACCCCACGTCACACTCGCCCGTCAACCCCACGTCACACTCGTCCATCAACCCCTCGTCACACTCGTCCATCAACCCCACGTCACGCTCGTCCATCAACCCCACGTCACGCTCGTCCATCAACCCCACGTCACGCTCGTCCATCAACCCCACGTCACGCTCGTCCATCAACCCCACGTCACGCTCGTCCATCAACCCCACGTCACACTCGTCCATCAACCCCACGTCACACTCGTCCATCAACCCCACCTCACGCTCGTCCATCAACCCCACGTCACGCTCGTCCATCAACCCCACGTCACACTCGTCCATCAACCCCACGTCACACTCGTCCATCAACCCCACGTCACGCTCGTCCATCAACCCCACGTCACACTCGTCCATCAACCCCACGTCACACTCGTCCGTCAACCCCACGTCACGCTCGTCCATCAACCCCACGTCACACTCGTCCATCAACCCCACGTCACGCTCGTCCATCAACCCCACGTCACGCTCGTCCGTCAACCCCACGTCACACTCGTCCATCAACCCCACGTCACGCTCGTCCGTCAACTTCACGTCACACTCGTCCATCAACCCCACTTCACGCTCGTCCATCAACCCCACGTCACGCTCGTCCGTCAACCCCTCGTCACACTCGTCCATCAACCCCACGTCACGCTCGTCCATCAACCCCACGTCACGCTCGTCCATCAACCCCACGTCACGCTCGTCCGTCAACCCCACGTCACACTCGTCCGTCAACCCCACGTCACACTCGTCCATCAACCCCACGTCACGCTCGTCCGTCAGCCCCACGTCACGCTCGTACGTCAGCCCCACGTCACACTCGTCCGTCAGCCCCACGTCACACTCGTCCATCAACCCCACGTCACACTCGTCCATCAACCCCACGTCACACTCGTCCGTCTCGCCCGCCGGCGACACTCACCACGCTCCACCCCCTCCTCACCTGCGGTCCGGGCGCCCCCGCCTGCTGCTGATTGGCCGAGGCCGTGCCGCCCCCGCCCTGCGCCGCCGCGCCCCCGATCATGTTCCTCTTGAGCGTGATCCTCTGCGGCAGGATGGGTTTGCCCATGGGGCCCGTGAGCGGCATGGGCCTCCTCTGGCCGGCCGCGGTGCCGGCGGCCCCGGTGGTAGCGGCGCCGGCGGCGCCGGCACCGGCGCGTTTGGTGAGCGTCAGCGACATCGGGGCCGTGGGGGCGGCCGTGTGGGGAGGGCTGTTGTCGTTGTACGTGGTGAGGCCCTGCCGGGGATGCACGAGGAGAGAGAGAGAGAGAGACGGGCACGTGGGGCAGAGGTCGCTAACGGGTTTTGATTCCTTACCCCCCCGTACCCGGCCGCACCAGGGTCGCTAACGAGTACCCGTACCCTACCCGTACCCTACCCGAAATGAGTGACAAACGGTTACTCACCAGTGACTCACGGCCTACCCGTACCCGGCCGCACCAGGGTCGCAAACGGGTACCCGTACCCTACCCGTACTCGTACCCTACCCGTACCCGACCGGGTACGGGTAGGGTACGGGTATCGGGTACCTGATTGCGACCTCTGGGATGAAGCCACGTTGCAGGCGCGGGTGGGTTGATTCTAGGAACTTGAATTGTGAGAAGAGACAAGACGTTGGGAAATGAGTGACAAACGGTGACTCACCGGTGACTCACGGCCTACCCGTACCCCCCCCACCTTCTCGCCGACACAGCCCCCCCCCCGCTCACCTGCCAGGCTCCCCGTCCTGCCGTGGTGGTGCGCTTGAACGCCGGGAAGAGCACACCGCCGCTAGTCCCACCTACAACGTTGGGGAAGGGGGGGGGGGGAGACGCGGGGGGGAGACGCGGGGGGGGTTAGCGTCTCCGTGACCCCACCGCCAGCGGCGTTGGGGAGTTTCCGTGACGCCGGTCGTGCCGCCGTGACGGCCCCTCGGGGAGGTCACGGCTTCATCGGTCAACGGCCGTCGCGGTGACGCCGCGATTTCAGCCAATCGGAGCGCTCGTAAAGCGAGGGGGGGGGGCTGAGCCCGCGCCCTCAGCCAATCGGCGAGGCCCGTGGCAGCAGGCCAACTCGGCCATTTATTGACTTATTTTTCAACTTCTTGGTTCTTTCGGTAAAGTCGTCACGTAGAAGGGAAGTAATAAAATAATAAAAATGAAACATAATAAAATAATTCTCACAACGTTTCGGCCACAACGCAAGCAGCCGTCCTCAGGTGAAAACCAGGTCTGTCGAGGCGACAGCATCTGAATGAAACAGCACACGAGCTTGGAGCATATATATAAGCTGGGTTGGAAGGGGGGAAAAGGGTGCCTTGACAAAAGAATTTGCATATCAAGAGGAATTTAGCATATTTATGGGAAATGCAAGTATGTGATTAGTACTACTTATGCCCGTGCATAATGCAGGATGAGCAGCATCAAAGGGAGGGGATATGGGAAATGCAGGTATGTGATTAGTACTACTTATGCCCGTGCATTATGCAGGATTAGCAGCATCAAAGGGAGGGGGATATGGGAAATGCAGGTATGTGATTAGTACTACTTATGCCCGTGCATTATGCAGGATTAGCAGCATCAAAGGGAGGGGATAGGGGTAGCATTAATAAAGGGAAGAAGTGTTAATAGTATGTAGCTGCAGTAACTAAAACCACCACGGAAACAACTAAAGTATAAACTACATAGTATCATCAGTATACTAAATATACTCTACAATAAGCTGAGTTACTAGCAGTAAGTAATACATTACAATTCTACGTCGTAAAAAATATATTATATGCTTCCATCTAAACTTTATTCTCTTACATCACACGAGTCTACACCGTACTATATACTGCCATAGACAAACCCAACATTAAAATATATACTGTATTGCTATACACCACCCTATACCTTATACATTGTAATATTACACTATGTATTATTCTACCCACCCTAATGTGTATCACACTGCTGTATATTCACTATACAATTACGATACTATATATTACTTTGTACATTGTATTAAACATATACATTTTTTTATACTATTTGTTATTATACACTGTACCGTTGACCGTCGTGTGAAAGATACTAAGAGGAAGCAACGAAATATGTCAATGGGAGAGTAGTAGAGAGAAACTTGCAGCGGAGCAAAGAATCCATTCCCTGCGGCTGCTTGCGTTGTGGCCGAAACGTCGTGAGAATTAATTTATTATGTTTTATTTTTATTATTTTATTACTTCCCTTCTACGTGGCTTTACCGAAAGAACCAAGAAGATGAAACCCTGCAGTCACGAAAGCTTTAAATCGATATTTTTCAACTGTTTCAGGTGAATCCGCAGCGACTGCGATGGGCCCTGAAGTGAATTCGCGTTTAGTTGGAAATGTAGTCCAAGGTGGAGGATCGCAGGCCCGAGCACACACACACACCCCCACGCTCACCCCGCACGCTCACCCCTATACGCTCATCCCCACACGCGCTCACCCCCACACACTCACCCCACACACGCTCACCCCACACGCTCACCCCCACACGCACACACCCCACACGCACACACCCCACACGCGCTCACCCCCACACGTACCCCCCTACACGCGCTCACCCCCAGACGTACCCCCCCATACGCTTACCCCCACACACTCACCCCCACACCCCCACATGCGCTCACCCCCACACATGCTCACCCCTACACAAGCTCACCCCACGCGCTCACCACCATGCGCTCACCCCCACACCCCACACACAAACACATCCCCACACCCCACACACACGCGCTCACCCGTGTCTGCCTTTCCATTCCCCTTGTCCGAGTCGCCCATCTTGCGTGCGCCTCCCTTATCCTCCTCCTCCTCCTCGTCCTCCTCCTCGTTGCCGTTGTTGTTTTTCCCGCCGCCGTCTCCCTTTCTGCCGCTTTCTCCGGCGCCGCCCAGGGCTGGCGGGCGCCCGCCGCTCTTGGGGGACGCCGATTTCCCCCTCAACGAGGCCGAGGTGGTGCGGCCGCGCGGCGCCCCCGCCCCGCCAAACGCACCGCCGGCGCGCGCCGCGAAACCCCCGCCGCTCACGGCAGCACCGGCACCGACGGCCTCCCCCCCGGCCGCCGGTGCCACCGAGGACGCCCCCCCGGCCGCCCCCCCGGCCCAACCTCCTCCTCCTCCTCCTCCCGGCGCGGCGGCCACGGAGGCCTCGCGCGAGCGGTCGGGCGATCGCGAGGCCCCTCGCGACGACGACGACGATGAGGAGGAGCGCGAGCGGCTGCGGGAGCGGCTGCGCGAGCGCGACTGCGAGCGGCTGCTGCGCGACCGCCGCCCGTGGTGGTGGTGCCCGCCGTGGCCGCCGTGGTGGCGGCCGCCGCCGTGGTGGTGGCCCCCGTGGACGCGGCCGCCCCGAGCGGCCCCCCCGCCTCCCCCCGCGGCGGCGCCGCCCCCGCCCCCGCCGCCCCCGCCGCTGCCGCCGCCGCCGCGGTAGTGCCGGGCGGACGAGGAGGCGGGGGGCGGCGTGTAGGAGGAGCGCCGCGCCCGGTGCTTCCCGCCGGGCGAGTAGCTGCTGCGCAGCGAGCGGGAGCGGGAGCGCGTCCTCGAGCGCGTCCGCGAGCGCGATCGACGCTCGTAGCGCGGCGAGCGAGGCCGGTAGCCGTCCCCGCCGTAGCCCTGGCCGCCACCCCCAGGGCCACCCCCGCCCCCGGGGCCGCGCTCCTGGTGGTGGTGGTGGTAGTAGCCGCCCCCCTGCCCGCCGGGACCCCCCCCCGCCGCCGCCGCCGCCCTGTCCCGGGCCGCCCCCGCCCTGGCCGGGCCCGTGGGGGGGCCCCGTCCACTGGCCCCCGCCGCGGCCCCGCCCCCGGTAGTAGCCGCCCCGCACGCCCGGGCGGAAGTAGCGGAAGTTGGTGCGGAAGTTGCCTCGGCCGCGGTAGTAGGGGCGGCGCATGCCCCTGTTCTGCAGGTGGTAGCCCCCACCTCGGCCCCCGCCCTCGGGGTCCCCGCCGCCCCCCCCGCCGCCGGAGCCCCCCCCTCCCGGGCCCCAGCCCCCCCCGCCGCCGCCGCCGCCGCCGCGGCCGCCGCCGCCGCCCCCCGGGTGGTGGTAGCCGTGGTGGTAGTTGGGCGGGTAGCGGTCGTGCGAGCGGGAGCGCGAGCGCGAGTAGGAGCGGGAGCGGGAACGCGAGCTGCTCCGGGTGGGGGTGGGTGTGGGTGGGGGGGGGGGAAGGAGAGAGAGGGAGGGAGGAGGAGGAGGAGGAGGAGGAGGAGGAGGAGGAGGAGGAGGAGGAGGAGGGGGGGGGAGAAACGCTGGGGTCAATCGCCGCTCACGCAACACCTCCGGCAACGCCTCCGGCAACGCCTCCGGACGTGACGTGGCCGGCCGGGCACCGAGGCGATCTCTCCATCTGGCCCGGAACGATCCCTGCCAGACGACCTTCCGATCCCATCCCATCCCATCCCCCCCCCCCCTCCGCCAATCTTACGAAACGTTCAAAAACGCGCGTCGGTTGTTCTTGCGCAGCCTGTGGGGGAGAAGATTTGGGAGCGAGAGTCGCCGTCGGGCAGAGGTGGCAAACGGGTTTTGATTCCTTACCCGTACACGGCCGCACCAGGGTCGCAAACGGCTACCCGTATCGGGTAGGGTACGGGTATCGGGTACCCGGTTGCGACCTCTGCCGTCGGGGGCTCCTCACGAGCCTCAGTCCCAGGGGCATCACGGGGCAATAAGCGCGTTACGATCACCACTAAACCGCACGCTACGATCATAATGAGACTCAACCATAACACGGGTTTTTTTGGGTTAAATCGTGCCGTTAAACCCGCCACCACCCGACACGGCCAATTGGTAACAGGATTTGTCACGTCCGCAGAACGTGGCCAATTCGTTACTAGTGTAATAAAGGACTCCTTCACACGTTGTCGCTCTCCGTTGGTCCTTTATTGGGTTCTTTTCCTTTCACCCGCTCTTCCTCCACCGACCCTCGCCATGCGCCCCGCGCACCCCGTGTGGCTCTCTCTCTCCCGTGCGCACCCGCTCGCTCCGCTGCCCGCGCACACTTCACCCCAGTGCGCCTATCGGGCCCAACCACGTGGCAATGGCGCCACTTCTCCCCTCACCGCCAGCGTGGCTCCCCTCTGTCGTTCACTCTCTTCTCCCCCTACCTCCTCCTCCGTCTCTCCCTTATATCCCCTCTCTCACGTGACCCAAACTCCACCTTCTCATCCTGCCCCTGTCTCCGCCCCCACTCACCCCGACGACCAGGCTCCGCCTCTCCAATACACCGGCCCGTGTGAGTGGTGCGGAGGCAGCGCCCACCCTGTCCTTGCTCGCATTACACTACCCCCCCCCCCCCTGATGAAAAAGCCAGCCGACCTCGGCTGCAACAGAACAACAATAACGCGAGCAACACATGACACACCGGCATAAGAAGACAACGGAGAGAAGAACAATAACAATTAACGAAAGGGAAGGGATTTCGAATGCGTGCGAGTCGCCGGGCCGTCCTGCACAGGGGTGCCCCCCCCGTGTGGACCGTGGCCGTGACGGGGTTTTAGGAGCGGCGGGACTGGAACCGCCCGCCGCTGTTGGAGGCCCGTCACTCCCAGCGTCCCGTTCCCCAAAGAGGCTCGTCATCGAACCCTCCCGCAACTGCGCCCGAGGTGGGGTTGTAGGGGCAGCGGGGTCAAGTGTCCCCGTCGCCGTGGTAGGCCCACCCGGAGCAGGAATCGGCATGTCCGGCAGGATCACCGCCGGTCCGTCTGTCGTGGCTGTTCTTGACGCGTCGCCTCCTTGGCAGGGGCCTCCTGCTGAAGCGGCGGCCGAGGACGAGCCCAACACTCCCTGGTGAAATGGCCCCGACGGCCACAGCGGAAGCACAACAGGTCGGGCCGCCGTCCAGCGCCCCCCCTGTCCTGGCGATCTCGTAACGGTGGCCTCGGCCCCAACTCCGCACCCCCGCGAGTAGGCGGCTGGGCCGCGGCTGCCGTCAACTCCGCAGGCCCCCTCTCGTCCGGCACGTACACGGCCTTGGACGGGTCCCATCCCGCGGCACCGCCCTCGCTCTTGGGGCTCCCCGTCCAGGCTGTTACCTGCTTCCAACGGCGCAGGTTGAATTGCGCGTCCAGGCACTTAGCCGCTATCCGGGAGGTCAGTTGTTCGTGGCCGCACACAGGCATGGGTATGCCCAAATCCCTGGACAGCTCCAACATTTTTCCTAAAATCAAAGGCTCTAGCAAGTCAGGCTCCGTGTCCGGGTAAGCGGCCATAGCCAATTCCAAGACGGCACCCCGGTAAGCGACGGGAGATTCCTCCGGAGCCCGTTGCCGTTGAATAAACCTGCGATGGGCATCGTCGGGGGGCTCAAAAGCTTCCGGCCATCTTTTCAAATACAGCCTTCAGCGTAGTCTTTCTCGCGGCTTTAATGGAACGGAAAAACCAGACCGATTCGTCATCCAGAAGCGTCGGCAGGACTTCTAGAGCCTCCGCATCCGTCCATTTCGCCGAGCGGACTGCCGCCTCAAAGCGGCAGGCGAACGCACTCCAGTCGCCGCCAATGGAGAATTCCTTGAGCGTCGTCAGCCGATGGCTGCGGGACCCCGAGTCGCCGTACTCCGCCGACGGTGTTTGACGCGGTGGCGACACGACAGCGTCCTCCCGCATAGCCAAGATGGCGGCCTCCCGCGGTGACAAGATGGCACGCTTCGCCCGCGGCCCCGCCCAAGATGGCGGCGTCTTGCCGCGTGGCGGAAGAGGGCGGGAAGCGTCGCGTGGGCCCCAATGGCGGACGTCTCCCCACTCGGGCGATCCGGCCTCGCCGCCGCCGTCGTCACCAGGGTGCACAGTTGTGTCAGCGTGGCCAGCAGCAACTCGAGTTGAGTCGTCACGTGCCGCCAGCCTTCCTCGGCGCCCGTCGAAGCAGACGGCCCCAGCGCACCGACGGTTTCTTGCACCCCCGGCGTGTCGCCCGTCCGCACTCCGCCCTCTCCTTCCACCGTCAGGAACGCCGCTTCAATTGGAAGCTCGTCTTCGTCATCCGAGGATGGTGCAGGTACGTTCTTCTTCTTAAGATGCTTAGACATCTTGGTTCACTTCTGACACCAGTGTAATAAAGGACTCCCCTCACACGTTGTCGCTCTCCGTTGGTCCTTTATTGGGTTCTTTTCCTTTCACCCGCTCTTCCTTCACCGACCCTCGCCGTGCGCCCCGCGCACCCCGTGTGGCTCTCTCTCTCTCTCTCCGTCTCCGTGCGCCCCGCGCACCCCGTGTGGCTCTCGCCACGCCGTCACCTCCGGCCCCTCCGTGTGCTCTTCCTCCCCCAGCTCCTCCTCCGTCTCTCACTTATATCCCCTCTCTCACGTGTCCCAAACTCCACCTTCTCATCCTGCCCCTGTCTCCGCCCCCACTCACCCCGACGACCAGGCTCCGCCTCTCCAATACACCGGCCCGTGTGAGTGGTGCGGAGGCAGCGCCCACCCTGTCCTTGCTCGCATTACACTAGTGTAGCGATGTTCAATGGATCGCTACGGCGCGTAGCGCCAAGTGCCGTTGAAACGGGCGCCACTAGATTATGGAAGTATGTATATTTTCATGACATTTATTAAAGCGTGCCACTTTAATTGGTGGCAGTGGTGGTGGTGGGGAGGGTTTATCGCTGGCTACGTGCTGGGATTTCCCCCTCCCCCACAATGCCGCCCCAGCAATCAGCATCCGAAGGAGGTTAGTTTTTGTTGTTGTGTCCCAAAGGGCATCCGCACTACATTTATCGCCAAACCCTAAACAAGGTAGACCTGCCAAGCCGGGCGGCAGAGCGCCCCCCTCACCGCCGCCCCCCTCACCGCAGCCCCCCTCACCGCCCCCTCACCTGTAGCGCCGCTTCTTAGAGTAGGACCAGTTCCCCGAGCTGGATGAGGAGTGCGAGCGGGATCGCGATCGCGAACGCGACGGAGACTTGGACCGCGGAGAGCCGGGCATCGTCACGGCTCCTCCTCCTCCTGCTGCTGCTGGCACTGCGCCGGCCGGGAAACACACACGGGGGGCGGGAGGGGGGGCATACGGTGGGGGGGGGGGGGGGGGGGCGGCACACATGGGGGGGGGCGGCACCGCCATGCGTGCGCAGGGAGGGGAACAGCGTCAGCGTGGCCCAGGCCCGAGTCGTCGTGGCGACGTTTGCCACGCGCCGCACCGGGCCGAGCCGAGCCGGCACAGGCGATCGCCGCCGGTGCTGTGGCGGCAACGAGCGGGAATCGAACCTTGCCCCGGTGGTCTGTTGAAGGCTACGCGGGGGATCTTTGTCTGTAGTTGTCTGGGACCACACTGCCTCTCTCTCTCTCTCTATCAATTTGTTACAGTATCCACGTGGTACGCTGGATTTAATCAACTGTATTGGGGCGACACGGTGGCTCGGAGATGTTGACTACCTCGCCTGGTACACAGGAGGTCGTGGGTTCGATCCTGACCCTGACGATGCCTGCTGCTGTATATTTGGAGTTTCCGTCTCTCTCTCTCATCATCATCACGGTGGCTAGGAGATGTTAACAACCTCGCCTGGTACACAGGAGGACGTAGGTTCGATCCTGACCCTGATGTCTGGCTGCTGTAGATTTGGAATTTGCGTGTCTCTCATCATCATCATTATCACGGTGGCTAGGAGATGTTGACTACCTCGCCTGGTACACAGGAGGTCGTGGGTTCGATGCCGACCCTGACGACACCTGCTGCTGTAGATTTGCGGTGTTTCTCTCTCTCCCTGTGGTCGCGTGGATTTTTCTCCGGGTCCTCCGGCTTTTCCCTCCCCATTTAGAATCGGCATCACTCATTCAGCGGCTATTTGGCTGCTGCTGTAAATCTACACGTGATGGCGATGAAAAGCCACTTCATTGAGCCTTTCTAGATTTGAAGCTTTCGTGACTGCAAGGAAAAACTGTTTAATTTTCGATTTAAAGCTTTCGTGA